ACCAGTTTCAGTCTCTAACAGGACAGACGTTCAGTGCACATGAAACTGAAAATGGCTGAAGCTGGTTTGTTTAAACTTATTACGGATTCTGGCTAAATGCCATACACCTGAAGATGACATAACACACACATGACAATAGTATAAATAAGTTCAAACAAAGTAAAGGAACTACAAATATTATACAAAAGATAGAGCCCACCAACATAAAAACATTATTAATATAAATATAGTAGACACTGGTTTAAGATACTACATTCAACTATCTTTATCACACGTAACTGATTTAGGTCAAACTCATTAACAGAACTTCTGTCCCAGACCCCTTCCTGGTTAAAGTTAACTCACTGTCCCCCAGCATCCCAGGATGCTTTTCAGTCCTAGGCTGGGCTGAGCTGTCTGCTTCAGTGGAGCAGGGTTGCTCCCACCCTTCTCTTCCTTAGCTGTAGCACTGTGACTGCTCCAGCTGGCTGAGAAGCTGGTGTGGGTGGGGGTGGGAAACCCTGCCCCAGACTGCAGGTAGGGTCTGCCTGGCTCTCCCCCCTGCTCCCCACCCCCCCCACCACTCAAGTGTCAGGGGCAGGGGACATGGCCAGATGCCAGTAGCCTGAGGTGTAGGGGGTGTTAATCCCCACTCTCCCACCAACACAGGACCCTAGTCAAGGTCTGCCTGGCAGGGGTGCAGCAGTCCTGGCAGGTTTCCCCACCCCCACTCACTGCTTGAGCAGTATGAGCAGGGGATGTGGCCAGTTGCTGATATGCTGAAGTGAAAGGGGTTTATTCACCCCTTTCCCACTAGCACAGGACTCCAGCTGGGATCTGTGTCCATGCCAGTGGAAGAGGGTGTAGCAGAATACCATCTTTGTCTCTCCCCAAACTCTGCTATCTGACAATTTGGTTACCATGGTCACTACAGAGGGCAGTCATCTCTGGACCCATCTGCTTGAGGTAACCCTGAGTTGTAACCTGAGCTGGATACATGGCTCTGGATGATACTCATGAGTAAGCTACTTGAGATCTAACTAGATATCTAGCTTGTAGTAACTCAGATGCGTGATCAAAGGCCACCATGCCACTGTTTGCTCTAAGGTATTTCTCTGATATTGCTCTACCTTGTACTCTATTCCAAACCTACTCCTTGTAACCAATAAAGTTTTCCTTTGTACCTAGCATGGGAGACTTAGATTATGCTTTGGGGTCCCCTTGGTTTAGCTGACTAAGGGAGACCACTATTTGTGCTTCAGACTGAGGGAAGCACCCCAAGTTCTTGCAGTGGGTCAAGTACCCCTAAGGACTACTAGGCCTGTATTCCCCATAGGGCACAGGTCCAAGATCATTCCAGACTCTGGGTGGTGGTAGCATTACCCTCAGGCTTGGAGGTGTGCTCCAGGAAGGGGGTCAGCTGGACGTGAGGCACCCCCAGGGAGGCACTGGGAGCCTGGAAGGTGGTTGGGCACAGTGAGGTGGGTGGTTCAATGCAGGAGCGCCCTCTACTGGCCTGCCACAGAGGGGAGGGAGGGGGAATTAAACACCTCCCTTCACCTCAGGCTACTGGTGTCTGGCCATGTCCCCTGCTCCTGGTGCTTAAGCAGTGAGCAGGGGTGGGGTGGTGGGGAAGCCTGCTGTGCCCCTGCTAGGCAGACCCTGGCTGGGGTCCCAAGCTAGTTGGAGAGGGGAGGGAGGGGGGATTAAACACCCCCTCTTCTGCTTCCCTCCTTTCACCTTAGCATGCTAGCCAGGGCCTGGGGTCTGGCCATGCTCCCTGCTGCTTGAGAGGAGAGTGGGGAAAGGCCTGGTAGGGGCTGCTTCCCCCTTCTCCCTCCAGGCACACTCTGGTTGGGGGCCATGCAGGCCAGGGTGTTGTGCTATAATTGCTTTTTATTATTTTGACAATCCAGCTATTAAAATGAATTGTTAACCCTATTAGGATTTATCATCTGTAATGTTTCAGTTCTTGATATGCGTGATAGACCTTTTAGTCTCATGATTTTATAGCTTAAATTTAGTAATATATAGATATAATGCTTATGCAAGGTCTGTAGTATGTCTGGTATGGATGCTTAAGGAATTCTGTGAATTCCAACAGCCAAAGAATGGAAAAACAGTTCTACGAAGAAGCTACAAAAATAATTCTATGAAAGACGTTTGCAAAATAACTCTAAGACTTTCAAAGGCTGAAGCGGGCAGAAACCAGTGCAAAAAGAAATCACCCTACCAATCGCAACCTGCCAACAGGACAGAGGGGATGATCTTCACGTCTGACTCAGTGGAATCCATAGACTTGTATAAAGAACTATCATTATAAAAATGGGTGAGAACAACAAAGCTTTGGGTCTGTTCACCTGCAAAGAGGAGTTTTGGGCATGTTTGAAGAGACCTGACTCCATCCCTCGTGGTTAGTCTGGCTGGCTATCAAACTAACCCAAGCGACTTAAGACTTGGTAACACCTTAACCTTTGCAGGACTGTCTGTGTGTTTGTTTCTTTTGCAAGAATGAATGAAATAAATGGGTATGTATGTATGAGCAAATGAAGCATATAACTTTGCTTTCTTTCTTTCTTTTCATGTCTTATGTTTTAATGTACACAGTGTTGTGCCTTATCCCCATAAGTATTATCCTGCTTGTCTTTCTGTAAATCCTGTATGCTTAGGCACACAGAATTAAATTGATAATAAGGTTGTTGGTTTAAACCCCTACACAGTCATCCTCAGTGGCCTGCCAGGGCCTAGCTATGCCCCGTCCCCCAAGCTTGGCTTCCCTCCAACCTTCTAGCCACTGCTGAAGAGAAGGGAAGGTGTGCTCTAGTGCCCCCCCAGATATTCACTTGCTTCTTGGTTCTATCTATGCAGGCTAGAGTAACCTTCAAAGAATGAATTGATTCAGGCTTGGGCTTTTTGAATGTCTGATTTAGTGTAGGTGACCAGCTAATGGTGACAGGAGCAGGATTGTGAGTTCTGGAAGCTCCTAGTCATGAACTGGCATGAAAGCAGCAGTTACAAGAAGATTATCTAGCACTTGGATGAGACAGGAGTGTGACTCAGCAGCTGTAATACTTTTGAACCTCATGACAGCAACAGGAGACAGAAAAGCAGAAGTGGCAGAAACAGCTTGTGGTGGACCAAATCAAGAACTCAGTGCCATCTACCCCACACAAACACAGGTCTGCACTGCTATAGAGTCTGTTGATCCTGGCTGGGCCTCATCAGCCATCTTTGGACACACAGATAAGACGGTCATGGAAGACAATCATCCTTGATTGTGAGGGATTGCCGAAGGTTCCATTGATATCACTGATTGGGAACTGATTCACAATTGTGTGGAGGGCTGTGGCTCCAAGAGTCCTTCACACAAAAGGGTTGGAATGAGCACCCAGCACAGCATGCCTTGCAGTGGGTAAGGAGTGGGGTGGGAGTGCTTTGGGAAATCCCACTGGGTGGGTCACTTGTGGCTTAGAGCATTTTCACTTTTCTGCTTTCCCTTCTCTTCTAAATATGAGTCCAATACACTTCAGTTGCAATTGATCAAAATCTGCAATGTTCTTGCCTGATTTGAACGGGGTGGAGGTATGCTTAGACGCATGCTTTTTTGGTTTTCAGAGGTTGGGAGGGTGCAGGGGTGCAGGATGAGGGGCTGTGGTCAAGTAGGAACTAAAGACTCTGTTAGTTGCTCAAAAGAGGTTTTGTTGAACAAGTGTGCTCATTGATGGAACAGTGCCAACAGAAGAAAAAAAGGGTGGGGGGCAGTAGAGTTCTGGCTGCATACCAGAGCAGCTAGTTATAGGAGAGGTGGGTATAGGAGTGATAACAGTGTGGAGGACTGAACTAGGGGCTTATCAGAAATGTCACAGAATGGTTGGTATCCACATATAACACTGAATTGGTTCACACTGAACCGGGACAAAACAGTACTTGATTTTCCAGGTACACTTCTGATCTGTTCTAGGTGGCTTGAAACCAGATAAACAGCCATATCTGTGTGTGTGTCTTGGATTTAAACTGCGTTTACACTGGTTTAAGATTACACTTGTCCATGCTGTTTGAGACTGTTTCATTACTGGAGACAGTCAGTGACATGCCACATTGTGCAACCTTATGAAACAGAACTTTGACCAGTCCTAGATTTTGTCAGCATTTTCCAAAAGAAAGCCCTGAGTCTGCCTTTAGATTTGCTTAGGCAACCCCCCTGTCCATTTTACAGTCCTATAGCACTCTTCAGGGCTCTTGGTGGGCAGAAGAATCCATAAAGTGACTGCTTTAAACTGATGCTGATGTAAACCTAGGAAGCAGTGTACTACATTTTGGGTTATTTCCAGGTGAAGGCCTGGTAATGTTTAATAGAAGCATGTGCCCCTGCTTAGCATAAAAAATGTGCTACATAAGAGCAGAAACTGAAGACAAAATAACACAGTGGTATCTCACATTGATTTATTAAGCAGAAATTCCTATGGATAGTAATACTTTACAACATAGATGGGATAAACCTCATAGGTGGGGAAAAAAGAAAAAAAATGCTGTAAACTGTTCTTTTGAGGCTCAGCATCAGGGCACAATCAAATACTTATTCCTCTTACTACTGACCCAAGTCAAACACCACGGAGCTGTGTAGAATCTCTGCTGGAAAATTAATCTTCCCTCCCACAACCCCACCTCAACCCGGTTTAGGAGCAGGGCAATGATAGGATACTGGCAGCAGGACAGTTAGTCAAGGGGAAGAGTTTTGCTGCAGAACAAAGAGAATTGGTGGTAGATCATCTGGTTGATTCTGAACCAACTGGCACTGGAGCAAGGGCAGGTTGCATATTACTGGCGAATGTATGAATATAAGATTTATAGATGTCTTTTCCTGGAATCACCCCTGGTATTGACTGAGGACCTCCTCTGATTAGCTAAACTTTTCCAAGGGTCCAGGGGCAGAAAGGACAGGCTAAGGCATAATCTGGGATTTGCAAACCTCTTGACCAGTCCAGTGCACCTGTACAAACATACATTTATTATTGTAACAGGGAGGCAAGCTCTGATCTGTTGCAGGGGACGTTCCGTGGAAGACTTACTGGTAGCCAGAGATGCGGAGCATCGGTGTGATACATTAGTAGCCTGAGTCCTGAAGCTGGAGCGTCCCACACCTGAAAAGAGACTTTGATTAAAAACTGGAAAAGGAACTAGAGTGAAGCAGCTAAAATACTGCTGGCAGCAAGCCTTTACCCCTGGAAGGGGACAGGATGAGAGTGAGCAACTGAGTGAAGTTGTAGTAACCTGTGTGGAGGCATGGGATCTTGTCAGCAGCAGCTAGAGAGCTAATGATTGATTTCCCTGAGAAGCAGAGGCAACTTGCCCAACAAAAAAAGGGGGAGAGTCCTCTGGCAGCCTTGGGAAGATGTAGATTCAGCGAACTGTCACTTGAACTTAAAAGGGGGAAAATGAGGATAAACAAATTGTTTAGGTGAACTAGGTTGATACTAGTTCATTAATTGTAAAAGACAATGAAGTATTGAGAGTGACAGACAGACTAGGATTCCTTTGCATGTGACCACATTGAGCACCTTCCTTAAAAAATCATGAGGAAATAGTGACTTGGCTATATGATCTGTAGTCTTCTTTTTTGTTTTAATTATTTACATATATTCTCCCATCAGGGCATGGTAGGCAAGTTGACAGACAAAGATTGCAGTCAGATTTCAGTATTAGAGAGAGAGAAAGACCTTAAGACAGGGGTTGCCTACTGGGGGTATATGGACCAGAAGGCCTGAGGGGATACATGCAGGCGGGCGGGGACAGAGCACCACCATGCACCATCCCACACTGCCACGCAGGTGCCACCCACCTAACTGGACTCAGGGCGGGGGTGGGGAAGCTTGCATGCGAAGGCTTCCTCTGCTTTGCATTTGGCTGCGCACTACCCTCTACCCCTCCCCTGCTCTGCATCTGGCCATGCGCCACCTCCCCCATCTGCCCCTACCTTAAGACATCAGATTTACCTATAATTCAATTATTATTATCATTCCTTAATATACTAAGCTTTCATTTGTAAAACTACCAACATACTTTCATTTAATTCAGTAGGGCAATATAAATGAATGAGCTGTTCACCCCCATTAAAGCTTGAAACCACAAATTTATTTAAGCAGGTGATGGTCATTGTATTTTTTTCATATTCTGAATGACATATCTTCCAGTATGTGTCATTTATGAAAATTAAAGGGACAGAAGTAAAAATAGCTCCCCAAAAACACAGCGTAATAATACAGAAGATTACATGTGGTTCATAGCACGGTGCTGACATTGCAAAGAATAGATATGTATCTTTGGTACCTCAGCCTATACTCACACGAGTGAGTTTGTACAGTGTCAACAGGATGCTGCTGCACAATGACAGAACAAGATGAAGCTCTGAGCTGTCACAGTCCAGAATTCTTCTTTGTCTAGAGAAGAGTTCCAGTATTTTATTTTTTCTGTATAAATATATGGCTTTGGTCATCCTTCTCCATTTGACAACCTGGAGATGGGAGTAAGCCACATGGCAGAAAAGACTAAGACCAGCTTCACATCAGAAATCAGATAATACTGGAGAGGGACAAATCCAAGATAATTATGGTCATACCTCCTTTTTTTATAGTTTGTGATCACAGGACAGTGGAAGTTCAGATCATGTATATTTAATCTCCAGTCTGTGGTTTCAACTAGTATTAGGATGGAGAGCTGTCCAAAATACATATATCTGGGGGAAGGGTGTGGGGTGTGTTGCAAATAATTACGTGCTGAGAAAAACACTTGCAATAGTCTGAATAGCAAATAGTCTCATTATATTATCTTATTACTAGTGCTGGAAAACTAGGGGTTTTATTTTTTATATCCTGATGTGGCCCACATCACTGCCTAGGAAGGACCATTATCACCATAATTTACAGATGGGGAACTGTAAATAGAGAGATTAAAGAGTTGATCCAGTGTACATTAAATTCAAGAGGTCATTTCATTGACCTCAGTGGGCACTGGATTAAGACCAAGGACTTACTCAGCATCACACAGCTTGTCTGTGACAAATTCAGTAATTAAACCATGACCTCCTGAATCACACTATAGACTTAACTGCAAAACCTCCTTCCATCCTCACTGCCTGCTCATTTTATAAATAGTGCTTATGCTGGGAAAGTTTTACTAATATTTTTACCTCTCGCCTTTCCATCTTTCATCTTTGAACAGTCACTGCATTGCTGGTAAGTTTGTTTTTTGGATTGAAATATTTTGCATCTGTGATTATTGCAAATATCTTTCAAATGTACTTAATAGGACTTTTGATAGGCCTGGCTGAAGTTTTTTTCATTAAACTGTCTTTTTCTACTTAAATGTTTTTAGCTGCATAAAGTTCTTTCTGCAAGAAGTGTCTAACTGAAAACCAAAATATTTCAACTTAGGTGCCCCAACAGTTCATTGTTGGAAATACAGGTCGTTTTCCTCATGTCCCTATTTTTCTTTATGAAAAAGATTCCGTAACATAGCTTCAGAGCTCATGATTCAGTATGGCTGATGGTGTCCCATGATGTACTGCCTACCTGTATAAAGAAGGGAGACCAGAATGCATTAGGGAAAAGGCCGCAAAAGGGAAAGGCAGCTTACGAAAAAGAGTGGGAGCCTGTAGCAGGTTGGGGTCTCAGGTGGCCATGACGCACCTTGGTGGCTCTGCAACTGTGCCCCACTCTACCCCTAGGGTGCCTCCCCTTTTCACCTACCATGTCTTGATGGAAATATAATAATAATAAGGAGGTTGTCCATGAGCCTTTCCATGTCCCAGTCCAAATGGACCCCCCACTGGCGTTTTCAGGCCCCTTGCTGGGCCTGTATAGTTGACCATGCGCTGCTGAGCATGTAAAGCCTTAGTAGCTAATTGCATGGCTCCAGTCCTTTCTTACATCATGCCCTAAGCCTTGTGGGTGTTACAATAATGATGTTCTCCTGTCGGGGTGTCAGCCTTCTCAGTCTCCACCCCTTTACTCTTGCTAGGTCTTCTGTATCAGACCTGACTTTGAGACACTAGCTCTCATCTGGCTCTTTTGAGCACCAGGCCTCAGGTCCCTGTCTGCCAGGCCCCTCTCTGGGCTCAACAGTCACTTATGCCTTAAGCCTGTTCCTGGCAGGGCTCAAAGTGATTGCATGCCCCTCGGGTACTAATGGGAGCTCCGTATATTGCTCCTATAGTCCCAACCCAAACCACTGGTGTAAACTGAAACATAAACACTAAGCTAATGGGCGATAACAGAAATATAAAGGGGAAGAAACCCTCTGCCCCTTTAAGAGGGAAAACCTTCCGTCCCTTCCCAGCTAGCATACCTTCCAACCTGGGCTCCTTGTAAGTTCCCTGAGCCTCACTGATCTCACAGGTAACATAAAGTTGGCCTAGCATCCCCAGGTAGTTCTCCTGGGCACGAGCTCCTTTCCCTGCAGCTGCCAGGGAGAGACAGCACGGACTATAGCCAGCATGTGGTCTGCTAGTGAATGCTGAGGTGTGTCCATGTAAGGCAGAGGAGACAGGGGATCCCTGCTTAGCAGGGAGTAGGGAGGGGAGCAGGAGGAAGCCAGGCAGATATTTGCAGTCTCTGCCGAGCTCCAACCAGGGAGGAGAGGGGAGAGGCCAGCTCTACTGTGGAGCAGAGAGCATGCCAAGATGCTGGGGAAGTTTGCTTTAACTTAAACTAGCAATGGGTCTGGGACAGAAGTTTCATAAACTTGTTCGACCCAAATCAGTTAAGTATGATACTACATTCAACCAGGTTTATCTTAAACTGGTTTCAGCCATTTTCAAAATGGTTTATGTGGACTGAACATCTGTTTTGTTACAGGTTTAAACCAGTTTCTGATCACTTAAACTGGCTTATATGTAATGTCTGTCCCTACCCTAAAGGAACAGGGAGCCCCAAGCTGTCTGTTACAGAGCCCAAAATAATTCCCAGGAGATTCTATAGTGGCATTTCTGAATCAACCTATTTCAGCTTAGGGCCAACTTTAGGTTTTATTTTTCCCCCCAGATTCAAAGTTTTTCATAAGGGAAAAAATATTCCAACTACCTGTATTCTATATGTTACCTTTATTTTGAGGTCAGTTTAATTGCATCATATAACCATAGCAACTGACTGTTTTGTTCTGCTCATCCTGCTCTGTAACAAGACACTGTAGTTTATCAAATACAGTATGGCCCAATCCTGTTCCAAGTCTGTGGAAATTTCTCAGTAATTCGAATGGTACAGGATGAAGGTATAGGATGCAGAATCCAATGGTATAGGATATTCTGATGTAGAGATGACAGTAACCACAAAAATGAACCTACTGGGATTGATTATGTTTTACACTAAGTGCCATTTAGTTGATGGCTGTGTAGAAGGGCTTTGACTGCATATAAACTTAATTTATGTTTGTTTTAAGACCCAGTCACCTTGCCAGAGGGATATAACTAGGCCTTACTGTTAATAAAATTCAAGGCCGGGTCTCTTTGCCTGTCTTGCAAACAAGCACAAAATTTGGTAGTTTGTCCAGCTTCCTCTTAAGCAAGTAAAATTGTTTTTTCATGGGAAGAGGAGCAAATCTTTTCATGTTCATGGAAAGATTCTGACAATCATCTATTCACAGATGGTTATGCAAGATTTATCCAAATGTAAGAAAGGGAATCATGTTAATTGTAATGAACACTACTGAATACCATAGGTGATGTAATTGCTGTTAAGATATGAATCTACCTCTTTAATGATAAAGTCAGAAAACAATGAAAAGTACAATACATTTGGAAAATACCCCATGGGAATTGGCAATGACCTGGCTGGGTCAAGAAACAGAAAGCTAAGAGGATAAACTAGATCAATAACTCCAAAATTCTTCATATAATATAAATCTGCTGGAACAAATAGTTTGGATAGGGGCCAGGTCCTAATATTGCATCATCAGTGGGAATTCAAGGACAGATCTTGAGGAAAATAAAGAGCTAAACCTGTTGTACACTATTATTGGCAAAATAGGATGTCTTAATAAAAACTTATCTTTACTTTTGTCAAAAAAATATTTGTAAAGGAAGTCAAATCCTGACTCTACTGACACGAAAGCAAATCTCCCAGTGGCTTAACACTATCAAGCTTTCACATTTGCAAAATTGTTAACACTTCTTTGTTTCAAGCTTGTCCTTTCTGTCCCCTATAAACAATATTCCTTTTCTAAAAAAACTAACGGTCTTGTTACAGAGGCAAATTTTCACAAGGTTGCAGGAACGCTGCTTCCTTTCCTCAGTGCTGGATGAACAGGCCTCATGGTTGGGCATGGTGCCTCAGCAGCTGCCTCTTATGGCTATTTCTAATTGTCTTCTGTCTGCAGCAGCCAGCCCACTGTAGGGATAGACTGAATAGACTGTCATTTGCACACGTTGTGTTTGTTCCCTGCTCATGAGCCATGTGTTCAGGCCCAAGATGAATCTAAACTAAAACCCAAGATCTACAGAATTCTAGATCCAAAGTTTGCATGGACAAAACAAAGTGCAGCTGTGAACATCACCTAATTTGGGACAGTTTTAAATTTCAGAAAGATAGCTTTGAAGTTGAGGCCCG